GCATTGTTGCCGTTGAATATGGTTCAATGCTTACTTTCATACTAATTTTCGTTCTTTTTCATAATTTGGATGTTAATTGTAGATTCATACTTGGTTTCTGCTCATACATCCGTCATTATTCAAGCAAAGTAACCATCTAAGCTTTTAAGTCGACCAGAAAGCAATAGTAAGATCAGTACGCAATATGCTCGATTACAGCAATATATGAGCAGATGAAAGGAAACAGCTGTTTCTTGTAGAGATGGACCGGTCAGGTGAGAAATTTTTAAAAATTCGGTCGGTTACGTTCGGTTCAGTTGAAATGAATCGATATAATTTTTCATTTTGAGTTCAATGGATTTTTTGTAGTGAGATATAATAAGAAACAAAGAAACTGATTGTACAACGATTACATGTTGCTCATAACCCAAATATTATTTCACACTTTTTTTATTCATTTTAAGAAGTATGCAAGTTATAATACAGTGTGATGCTTCAATGAATAACCTTCTTCATTCTTTGTTTTATATGAATGTTCATTATTCGTTGTTGTTCGTATTCAATTTGATGTTATTATATAAAAGAATGTTCATTTATAAAGCACTACTACTTTAATTAGCGTAATAAACTTTTCTTTCGCTAAACTCGGTTAGGCTACGTTTGAAATTTTTAAATATTCGGTCGGTTATGTTCGGTTCGGTTAGACATTTTTTAGGGTTCGATTAGGTTTGGAAAACTGCCAGCCGATCTCATCTCTGGTTTCTTGGAGACACCTGAAGAGTTTGTTGACGTTGATAACAAGGCATGCGCATGTGGCATAAATTGAAGTTGACACATCAACTAATGTGCATGAATAAAGAGATTTCCGACGGCATTCTTCCTGATATGTCTATAGCTGACAAACTTTGACTCACAGACACCACTAGAACTAGATACACTTCAACAGAGTTTAGAATCCTATTTTTTTTTAAATATTTGAAATGTTTACATAGGAATGAGATTGTAATTTTATTTTATTTCTCACGTTAAGTTTTCTTGAGAAAACCTAGTTCATTGTTTGTTCTGCATTTTAAGTTTTGAAGAACTTTTATGAGAAAAGCAAATTCAAAGCATTCAGATGATGATACTTTCATTCAAGAGTTTCTTAGCTTTCACTAGAACAAGAATAAATTAGGAGAATACTGTCATTTTAGGAGTCCAGAATGCTTTTCTGAAAACGTCTCAGATCAACTCGACAAGTACAGGATTTAACACTGGTGCCTGCCCAACATCTTCCGACGGTGCTTTTGGTTGGCATTTTGTCCTTCCAGACACAACAACAGTGTTCAATTCCATCAACTGTACGTTTAAAGTAGCTGGCAGGGTTACTAACATGACTCAAGTACCAACTACCAAGCATGCTTATGTGTTTACGCCAACAGTAGATACTATTCTTGGCGCTTGGGCAGTTGTAAACGGATCGCAGACGGAATTTCTTTTGAGTCATGTATGCCTACCTACAAGTAAGTAGAGTTTTGATCATTTAATTTATCCGAACTGTTGGCTCACTGCATTGGTCTTATTCAAAGATTGTTATCTCAGATGAAAGTTTGCCACCTATAAATTTCTAAATACCCAAACATTATCTGAAAGAAGTAGTCTATGAATTTGATGATCTCTAATTAATAAAACTGAGACATACTCATCATTGATGACTTATAAAATTTGGAAAAACTCAGCAAAAACAATTTATTATTGGTGCAGTCTGCTACTAAATGACTATCGGTTTTGACACAGTAGTGTCAAAATAAATGACATTCACTTCTTAAAATTTTTTCTTCAAATCAAAAAGTTGAATATTTAAGTCTTGAGAGCACTAAAATAGCAATACCCTTCATCATCAAAAGTTTCAACGTTTTTAGTTTTTGATTTATTTCCACTAAGAGTGTTTGATCTTTCCTCTCGACAATATCGTCTAACTGGTTTTGTCACTGTCTGTTACCATAGTAAGTGTTCTCGTAGACCATACATAATTCACTTATTTCGACACCATGGCTGCAATATTTCAGAGCAATAGATAGACAAAAAAGATTTCTTGTCGTAAAAATTGATCTCGAACCAAATGGAAACCAAAAACTATATTCTAAATTGTTAGGATAATGTGACGTTGACAGTGAAGCCATCTATTTCCGAGAGATTCACAAGATTTAGAAGTCGTACCACTCGTAGCAATAGAGAAAGAGCCCAAAATAAAAATTCTGACATTTTAATTGTCAACAGGGATAATACCTATAACTGGAAAGCACAAACCCAAATTTTGCACATGGCAAGATGGTTAGTGTTATTCTTCTACATGGAATAAAAAGATATCAATAGTTTCTTGCACTCTTTAACATTGACAGTGAATCAAAACTATTGAGACAGTCATCGTATTTTCATTATTAAAACTGTGAAAAACACTAAAGTTCGTGAAAAATAAACAAATTGTCATAACTATTCATGTTTCATTCCACATTTCGATGACAACTAGGATAGGAACCGTTTGTTTCACCCGTTTTTCATAGTCACCTGTTTGGGATTAACGTCACATTAAAATGCACTGAATTCATTTGTGTCCTAAAATTTTAACATTGATAGAGCGACACTACAATAACTATAACTCTGATAAACCATGTCATTAGCTTCAAACTTTTATTTCACTTCAATGACTACAATTTGCCTTTGAATATTTGAGAAACATCAGTAAACTTAACAAAAACAGCAAACTTCTACGAATTTCATCGAGTGACTCATATTATGATCTATCTTCCGACGACCTCTACAAAAGGCAACCTAGGGATAGACTGCGAAATATCCTAAATGAGTCATTGTGTTTCAGCGAGAAAAGACGGTTTTACAATATCAAACTTGGGCGTACATTTCTCCTAATCATTGGTATTGATACAAAATCAAAAGGAATACTATTCTTCATCAACATCCTACTCTTTAAAACTTTTTGTTTCTGTCAGCAACCTCCTTTATCAAACCTCTTCTCCCTGATTCTAAGCACTTGTTCCATCAATACTCATTCGATGTGACATTCCCTTTGGAAACAATATTCGAGCCATTGATAAAAGGTCTTCATCCATACACAACATAAAATATTTCTCATCTTACACTATAGCTCCAGAAACATATCAAATCCTTTCTCACAAACCAATGACAGAAAAAAAATAATGCACTGCCTACCCCCGCCAGAGATGGAACCGGTCTGGATTTTTGAAGACCGGTACCGGTCCAAACAGGTCAGACCGGACCGGACCGGCCGGTTTACCGGTTCGACCGGTCTACCGGCAATTGACCGGTCTACCGGTAATCGACCGGTCTACCGGTCACGACAGGTCTACTGGTAGACCGGCCGGTACACAATTTTTACCAATATAAATTCTATCTTTTCGATAGTGATAGTTCAGGCAATCGACTTCCACCGAAATTTTCATATGTATTCTGTACAAGATAGCATCAAGATTTCGCAGATTTAACTAGTTTATGCAATAAAACCAGGAAAGAAAAAAGATAGACCGGTCTACCGGTTACCGGCCGGTCTACCGGTAATCGACCGGTCTACCGGAGACCGGCCGGTCTACCGGTAGACCGGCCGGTCTGAAATCCGTACCGGTACCGGACCGGACAGGACCGGCCGGTAACCGGTTCCATCTCTAACCCCCGCCCGACTCTCAAGACATTCGAGATTTCGGTTTCTCGAGTAAGGAACTAAATATTCTTTGCGTTTAGACAGCTGCACTATTAACAACGGTGGGTGCGACCCAAACGCTGCTTGCATTTATCAGGTATATAATAATACACGAACATGTGTCTGCAAACCTGGATATTCAACTACCGTCAGTGGCACTACGATTACATGCACTGGTATTCCTAATCATCTTTACTTTCATAAACCTCTCCTAATTATTCTACACTTTAGATACTTGCCTCCAAAACAACGGTGGATGTGATGCCAATTCAATTTGTTCACACTACGCAACAGGTGCTATTAAATGCACCTGTAAATCAGGCTGCGTAAACACTGCATCAGAACCAACGGTCGTATGTCAGGGTATGTTGAGTTGACCTAGCCTATAGAAAAGAA